TTTACGGTTGTATTTTAGCTTGGAATCAGAGCAAGGTGGGTTTTTTTTTTAAACCCTAACGATGTGATTTGGCCATGTGAGGGTCTTCTAAAGCTGTACAACCAGAAACCCTAGATCTGATGAAGAACAAGGCGATACGACACCCTAGATCAGAGAAAGGTATGGAATTGAAGAACAAATATAATTCACGGTTATTTCCTCGAGTTTTTTATGTGGGATCAAAAACCCTAGGCCTGGCTATCATGGATCTATGATATTAAAATCTGTTGTCGGACCACCTATATGGATCAAATCATTGTTTATGAGTTGTGAAACTCATTTTTTTTTCTAAATCTCTTGTATAGATGATCTCGGGTCCCCATTCAAATTATTTTTGAATGGTCGATTGTGTTGATCAGCACGTATTCTTTGTGTTTCCAGGCTATGTTGTGGCCATTACGTCTGGTTTGAGTGATTGAAGCCACTCTTCCACCTTCACAAGTACTTCCGGTGTTACCTCCAATATGAGTATCCATGGAGATAACCCTGTAGTACTGCAAACTACTATTGTTAAACTCAATAAAAAAAAATATTTAGAGTGGTCGCAATCCGCTAAAATGTTTATCGATGGAAGGAGAAAGTTTGGATATATCAATGGTAAGATTACTGAACCCGAAGAAACAGTCTAGTACATGAGAAGTGGGAAATTGAAAACGTTACTATTATATCTTGGTTGTTACACTCCATGCATCCATTGATTAGTAGGGTTTTTTTGTTTCTTTGAACTGCAAAAGAGATTTGAGACTCTGTATCAAACTTTCTCGCAAAGAAAAAATGTGGCTCAACTGTATTAACTAATGCAAGATATTTGCAATCTTCAACAGGGCGAGAAGTCTCTCAATGAATATTTTCCTTACTTTGTAACATATGGGAGGAGCTAGACCACTATCAAATGTTTAAACTATCCACTATAGAAGAAGGTGAGAAATACAAATAATTAGTGGAATAAAACTGTATTTTGAATTCTTGAATCCAGAGTTTGAATTCGCCAAGGTTCAAATACTTAGTAGGGATATCCTTCGGTCACTTACTCAGGTACATTCGTTGGTTCAAAGTGAAGAGAGTAGGAAAAATGTCATGCTGTCTAGCCAAGGAGTTTGATTTATCTACTCTTACATCAACCTCCTTTCCTTCTACAAATAATAAAGGGGATGGGACTCAAAAATTTGGAAAAAGAGGACCTAATCAAGATGATAAAAGTAAGCTTGAATGTGATCGTTATGGCAGAACTAGTCATCTCAAAGAAACTTATTGGGATTTGGTTCGACGCTGTGCCAAATTCAACAATCCAGGTCAATTTAATACTCACAATGCTTCAACCACTGGTAATTCAACTGCTGCTAGTATAGATCAGCCATCACAATCCTCAATATCAACTTAGAAGGAGATAATACCAATGCATAAAGAAAAAAGCCTTCACGAGCTGTTTGCACAATTAGAAGGCCCATCCACTACCTCTACTTCATCTTTTACACACTTGGTTCTCATGCTTCTGCCAATCATATCTCACTTATGCCATCTATATAATCTTGGATTATTGATTCAGGACGATTCTCGATCCGGATCAGGTGATTCTGATCCGGATCGACGATTTTTCAAACACTGGTTCATTATGATGTTTGGGGTCATTCTTCTTTTACATCTTCTTTTGGTCATCTTTATTTTGTTTCTCTAGTGGATGTGTACTCTCGATATACTTGGATCTACCATATGAAAACCAAAGATGAAGTACCACATATTTTCAAAGTCTTTCATAAGATGATTCTCACTCAATTTAAGGCTAAAATTAAAGTACTTCGATCTAACCAAGGTGGGGAATATTGTAATGGAGAGTTATACTGCTACTTGGTAGGAGCATGGGATAGAATATCAAAATTCTTGCGCCTATACACCAAACAAAATGATGTAGCTGAAAGAAAGAATAGACATTTTGTAGAAGTGGATCGTGCTCTTCTCTTAAACGCTACTAGAATAAACAGAATAGGAAGAAAACGAGGATGACATACTGTTCATGTGATCTAATGCTTCTGAATCAATAATCTAGGATAGTCCATACAGAGCAAGGGAGACATGCTTAGAGCATGAGTACTTGAGTGTGCAATGGATGAAGGAGAGGTAGTGGATAGGTCATCTAACTGTGCTAGCATCATCTCTTTTAGAGTAAAAGCTGATGATTGGATTGCATTTTGCACTGACTACTACGTACTAGCAGCATCTGAACTCCCAGCATTAAACTAGCCTTGACGGTTAAATTTAGTTTGCCAATGAACCAAGTCCCCGCAAGTTTCTTTAGTATGACCATTTCTATCACAATAGTCACACTTTAAGTTACTTTTAGCTCCTTAATTCTGCCCTCTTTTCCAAATTTTTAAGTTCTGGCCCCTATTGTTTATAGAAGGCAATGAGGCTGAAACAAGGGCAGAACAATCAAGTACTTACAACAAGCAACATGACCATTTTTCGACTTTCCTCACTTTGGATAAAGGAATACTCCTGATTAAGTGAAGGAAGACTATCCCTACTAAGTATATGGACCCTAGTTAATTCAAACTTTGGGTTCAATACCGCCAAAGAACTTCATAATCTAATTTTGTATTTCTCTCCACATGCCTTACAAGCCATTTTAAACACATGATAGTTGTCCAACTCCCACGTAATGAAGCAAAGAAAAATACGTTGCAAGAGCAGCAAGAGACCTCTACCATTGTTGGAGATGGGAAATTTCCTATCTCAACTAGTACACTTGAGCCACATTCTTGGTTTGAGATTAAATTTGGTGTACAGAGTCCCAAATCTCTCTCGTGGTTTTAAGAAACAAACAACCCCTATTAATTGAGGGTTGCTTGGAGTGCACTAACCAAGACATTATAGTTAGATTTTCAGTTTACCACTACTTATGTGAGGGATCTGTTTCTTCTAGTTCAATAATCTTATCATTGATATAACCTAACGTCCCTCTTCCACCAATGAATATTTTTTGTGGACTATGACCACTATGACCACTATAATAACTCATCCCAATAACTATGACATTAGTAATTTGTAGTCCAGGCTTATCTCCATGAATATCCATATAGGATGTTACACTTGGAATACTAATAGAGATGGTAGCATGTCCAGAATCACTCACACTTGATATATCGACCAAAATACAATGAAAAAACTATCAAGGAAACCTGCTAATCAACACAAAGGGCCACTAAAAAACACCTCAAACAGGGAACCAAGATCATCCATACAAGAGATCTCAAAGAAAATTGACTTTTACAACTTAAAAACAAGAGGGTATAGCCCTTGATAAAGCAGAATAGCGGACCAGGATTCATGTAGCCAACCCGAAATAGTTGGGAAACCGCTTTGATGATGATGATGAACACACAAACAAGGATTCAATCCATTGAAGGGTCCAACACTGACTTTGACACCATTGAACCACACCAACTAGATCTAGGGTCTAACGGCATAAAAAAATACAAAGAAGTAACTACATAAACTACGATTTTTTCATCCCATACCCTTTGCAGATCCAGGATTTCTAACCATACAGATTTTACAGGCCTTTGCAATACTAGATCACATCTTTAGGGTTTCGAAAGAAACCTCTCGAAGTAACCTTGCTCGGATACCAAGTTAAAAATACAGCAGCAACCAAGGAGGAGGAGAGAATAGAAAGAGTGATCAAGGGCTTGATTAGAAAAAAGGGAAGAGAGAAGGTCACATGAGGCCTAACTTGACCCCACACACCTCTCTATTGCATTATATTAATTATAAAAGAACACAAAAGTGCGCTTTGAGGGAAATTAAGGACAAATAAGTTCTTAGGGGCTTAAAATACAATTAAAAGACAACTAGGAGCCAATATTCACTTTTACAGCACCATTTCCACACCAATAGCTGAGATAAGATGAGAACAACCATCTTTTGTTATACGCTGATGGTTCATAAAATGAGATAAGGTGGAGAGATGATACTTATGTCCTTGGAAATGTAGTGAGAGGCCCCACTATGAAGGTACCTTAAGGAGTCTGAAGCAGATGCAAGAGAGATAGCAACCAGATCATGGGCTAATGCCTGAAGTTCATATGCCAGGTTAAACCAATGGGTGAATTTTAGAGCTGTATATCCACTCATACTTGACATAAGATGGAAGAGGAGGCAGGAGGTGTGCCAAGGATGCCTGCAGAGGCATGTGGCAGGAAGGTGTAAAGTAACCATTCTGTTCCTGTGCATGACCACCTCCACAACCACGGCTATAGAAATAAAGACCATGTGTGATTGCGCAATCACAGTCTTTCAAAGGGGATCCAGGTTTCCAGGCACAAGCATGCAATTGATCTCCATCCGTCACTTTTCCATACATGACCGCAAGCCCATGTCAAGACCTTGGATTTGCTACTTCCACTCCATTTGTATTATATAGTGATGGCAAAAGTGCGATGCCCATGGCAGTTAATCCTTTTTTTCATGCCCGAACCAAGCACATAAAGGTAGAGTATCATATTGTTAATGAAAAAAATCCTGGCGAAAGAAATGATACAATCTTATGTGGCCTCAAGTGCACAAAATACTGACATATTCAGTAGATCTCTTGCCAAAGATCAACATCGGGTTTATCTTCTAACTTGCAGGGGCATGTTAAGAGTTACATGTATACCATGTGCTGCCATTTGTTGATTGTAAGGGCAACTATGTAATTGGCCCCAATGCTTCTAATTATATAAGTGAATTCACTCAACACACAACTATCATTCTTTTCTCAAAATCTTTCAGTAACTTCTCATGACCTGTAAATGAATCATATCAAGTTTTTTTTAATGAATTTTAATGATTTCAAATCATAATTGAAGCTCATTCCGATCTCAATTAGTGACCATTGTAATTATTCAGAAAGATTCCATTCACTAGAGACAATAGTTCTAAAAGTACCCTAATTTCAGAGGTCATAGGTATTCAATACCAACCAAAACCAGGTCCACTGCTTGATAAATATGGTAACCGATAGATGTCAGCCTTTTCCAACTTGAGCACATATCTGTCAACAAATAAGACCCAAAGAACACATCATGAAATTAATTACATACAACAATGCAGGGACTGAAAATTTCTAATGCAGTTCAATGTATCCTAGCTGCAATGTGTAAATTTCACCAAAAAAGAAGACATACGCTTTCAGATGAGCTAAAACTTTGCAAAATACTCCTTCATGATAAAATATTCATACCAAATAATACAACAACATCTTATTGCGGTGTATGAGAAAGTTGAGACAATGTAATTTATTTACACATTGGATTATCACCATATTGTACATATAAGAATATGTGCAATAAATCGTTAACATCTATGAGCAAAAGAAGCCAACTAGATTCATTGACTATATTGTCGCATAAGTGATCCTCAAAAGAATAACTCAATGATCAACATCAGCAGTAATTATGAGAATACAAAGTCAATCTTTCAAAGAAATCAAAATTTCCCATTAGAAGGTACCCATAGGGTATCTTACACATATAAATACAAGTATGTTGATTAAATTACCTGGATGGTATGGAAAAGACAATTAGAATAAGAAGTTACAGGTATATTGATAAAAACTTGCATGGACAACTAGAAAAGGGAGCTAAGTACAAAAGAAACAAAAAGTAGCAAAGCAAATGCAACTTGAAGAATACAATACATATCTACTTATCTATAAATAGAACTTCTTATTAATATCAATATTACCTTTGAATTGATATCACTGATCTCTAATGCTCCCTGGAGGTATTGAAGAATCAAATTTTTTTGAAATTCTGTAGGCTACGAATTTAAGAGGACAAAGTTTTTATTTTTCAGAAATACCTTAGGCTTCCTCAAAATCTCCCCTTACTGGTTTCTCAACATCCAACTCAAAAAACTTCACTCTAGATCTCTAGATGACCAACCTTAGTAACTTTTCATAATCCCTCAATTGCTACACTTGCTTTTCACCTCACAACTTTCTTATGTGCATCCCTATCTGTTTTGACTAAGAAAATTGACAATAAATTTACTGATGAACTCTATGAGCCACATCACAACCATACAATCAGAAATACTAACGGGCAGCATCAACTTAGTCTTTAAATGCAGTGAACCAAACAAGTTATCATGATTTCCTTGTTGCCTCTGTTATTCCTTCAAAACATTAGAAAATGAAACTTTGTTTCTAGGGTCCAGTAGCAAGGCCAAGAGACGGCCAATATCCTCTATAGACGAGACTATTTTGAACACCAAGTTTTTTCAAGACATGGGCATCCATTTGACTCTCTCAACACCCCAATACAGTGAAACATCAGTGATATCGAGAACTCCAACCCGATTTTTCATGAGTGGAGAGTAAGTACATATGAGATCGAACCATAGCTTCCCGAAGCGATTCAAAACCCGAATCAATTTAGAAATCGGAAGTGGGGATCGCCTATGGCTAGAAGATTCATGTTTTTTGAACCAATGTCTGTACAAGAGGAATCATGAGGGACGAGATTCCTATTTTTAGGAATAGAGATTCAACAAAAATATAATTGATATCCCTACATAGATGTAATTGAGATTCCTAGCTCTTTGGAATCAACCAATATAGAATCGAGATTCTTTTTTTTACGGAATTGAGATTCCGACATCTTTGGAATCGAGAGGGAACTGAGAGGGAAACAATACGTCTCAATGTTCATTTATCGACATGCCATACATGCACATTTATATTACTTGTGTTACATTATTCCTACATCTTAGAGTTGTAATCTTTTCATTAGATCAATACAATGCATAATTAAAGAAGTAGAGAATGTGGACCACCTTGGTTTCTATTCCTCATTTCATGCCAAAAAAAAAGACTACACCTTGTAGCTTGAGATTGAGTGTCTAGCTCGAGTAGTTTGATGCCTTGAAAACCTCTAAACATCACTTCTTAGACCAAAAGCAAAAAGAAAAAAAAAAGAGAAATGGAAGAATTTTGGTAAATGTAGACACCAATTTCAACAAATGTAGAATTGAGATTCACCAATTGCGGAATCGAGAACTAGAAAATATTAAAAACTAGATTCTATAAGTCTTGGAATCAAGATTCCTAAAAAAAGGAATCGATATTCCAGACTTCACAGAAATGGGTTTTCTGAAGATTCGTAGTCGGAATTGCCGAATCACATTTTTGAATCAGAATTGTAACCTTCCACGAGAGATTTGGGTCATAATGGATCGAACAACATTTTTTTATGGGGCAAGTAGCTTAAGAAACATTTCATTCAGGACTTGATTGTGGCCCTGCACATGCTTCCATCAATTGGCAAACCATCAACTTGTTCACCAAGGCAGTTTCCTTTAAGGGCCTGTTTGGGTATATGGATTTTAAGGCATAGACTCCTAATATATTGGATATTGTAAAAATCTACCGTTTGGATGGTTTAATGACTAGGATACTTAAAATCCGGAAAATCAAAATTATGGAAATAAGATTTACTTTTCCATGATTTAATTTCTACACCAAAACCTGTTTTTTTGCATGTCCAAGGCCCATGGATTTCGCTCATTGGCTCCCTCGACCCAAAACATATGGAGCATTTGGTAGGTATGAAAATTTTAAAGACAGAAAGTAACTAAATTTTTTAAAGAGAAACTATCTCAAAATTTTTAGAGAAAAACTATCTCAAATTTTAACTTTTAGAGAGAGAAAGTACGTTAAAATTTTAGAGAGAAAAAGTACCAAATTTTTTTAGAGAGATGAACTATCTCAAAATTTTAGAGAGCGAAACTATCTCAAATTTTAACTTTTAGAGAGAGAAAGTATGTTAAAATTTTAGAGAGAGAAAGTACTAAAACTTTTTAGTGAGATAAACTATCTCAAAATTTTAGAGAGAGAAAGTACATGCAAAATTTTAGTGAGAAACTATCTCAATTTTTTAGAGAGAGAAACTATTTCAAATTTTTTAGAGAGAAACAATCTCATATTTTAATTTTTAGAGAGAGAAACAATCTCATATTTTAATTTTTAGAGAGAGAAATTGTATCAAATTTTAGAGAAACAACCTAAAAAGTTTTAGAAATAGAAACTACCTCAACATTTTAGAGAGAGAAACTATATCAAATCTTAAGTTTTAGAGAGAGAAAGTATTCTTGAAATTGTAGAGAGAGAAAGTATTCTTAAACTTTTAGAGAGAAACTATTATAAATTTTAGAAAGAAAAATAATTTAGAGAGAGAAATATCTCATTTTTTAGATAGAGAAACTATCTCAAATTTTGAGTTTAAGAGAGAAACTATCGCAAATTTTGAATTTTAGAAAGAGAAAATATATTAAAATTTTAGAAAGAAATTATATCAAATTTTAAAGAGAGAAACTACCAAAAAAAATTTAGAGAGATAAACTACCTCAAAATTTTTAGAGAGAAACTATAGCAAAATTTATGTTTTAGAGAGAAAAAATATATTAAAATTTTCGAGAGATAAACTATATCAAATTTTAAATAGAGAAAGTACAAGAAATTTTTAGAGAGAGAAAGTATCTCAAATTTTAAATTTTAGAGAGAGAAAGTATATCAAAGTTTAGAGAGACTATATCAAATTTTAGAGAGAGAAAGTATATCAAAGTTTAGAGAGACACTATATCAAATTTTAAAGAGAGAAATTTTTCAAAATTTTAGAGAGAGGAACTATCTCAAACTTGAAGTTTTAGAGAGAGAAAGCATCGTAAAATTTATGAGAGTAACTATTTCAAATTTTAGATAGAGAAAGTACATAAAATGTTTAGAAAAAGAAACTATTGCAAAAATTTTAGAGAGAAATTATCTCAAATTTTAGCTTTTAGAAAGAGAGTATCTTAAAATTTCAGAGAAAAACTATATCAGATTTTAAAGAGAGAAACTACTTAAAATGTTTAGAGAGAAAAACTATCTCAAAATTATTGAAGAGGGGAACTATTTCAAGTTTTAAGTTCTAGAGAAGAATATCTTAAAATTTTAGAAAGAGAAACTATATTAAATCTTAAAGAGAGTAAAGCACCTACAAATTTTAGAAAGAGAAATTATCTCAAAATTTTTAGGTAGACAATTTCAAATTTTAAATTTTGGATAAAAAGTATATTAAATTTTAGAGAGATAAACCATAACAAATTTTAGAGAGAGAAACTATCTCAAAAATTTTATAGATACACTATCCCAAATTTTGAGTTTTAGAGAGAGAAAGTATATAAAAATTTTAGAGAGAGAGAAATTGTATCAAGTTTTGTTACCAAACAATGGACATAGAAGTGATTGTAAGGAATCCATGAATTTTGTATAGTTTATCCAAACAAGAGATTTGAGGAATCCATGACAAAAATCCTTAATATTGAAAATCCATAGATTTCCTTGGATTTCAAATATCTAAGATTTTTAATTTCCTTCTATCCAACAGGCCCTAAGTGAAATTGCTTTCTTTTTAACACACTTTCCTCCATTTGAATTGTGCAATGTATGTGCCATGCCATTTAATAAACGAATACCATAAGCTAGCTGAAATCATGCTGTCGATGCAATTCCAGTGTCTCAGGCAATATTCATCCAAGGAGCATTATTCAAATCCTTGAAGTGGAAAGATAGGACACAGATACGTACGGGCTACCTGCTTCAATAAAACGCTCAGCCATAACAGCGTTTTGGCATGTGAATTCACCGAAAAGAGGAATTCTGCAAAAATAAAAGTAAGAGGCTATTATCTAAAAATTCTTTCCGTATTTCAATAACATGCCTAGCATTAACAGGTTTTCAGCTTGTGAATCAAGAGAGAATTTTTCTTGTTCTGAAATTTCCATGATATCAGAAGTAGGCAATAGATCACTGCAAAAGGAAACTCTACAAGGCCAACCACTAGATTTAGAATCTTAAGAACGTAAGGCACAATGACGATAAGAAAAGCCCACCTTTTTTTATAAACCATAGACAGAGAATATATATAAATACGTTTCTACCAAGTGCCCTTCTCAACATATATAGTCATGTTAAAACCGAGACAGCTGTAAAAATCAGTGGATGTCATTCCAATTAATTAGCATCTGAATAATGGTCATGCACAGAACATTTGCATTGCCTATATAATATTGCAAACATGCTCATAAGAAAACTACATATTTGTGCTGTAATAATTGTGGAACTTGTAAGCAATTTGATTTCACACTAATTTTCATAGAGCAATACTACACATATCTTGGGAAATGGAAGAATACGCGAGAAATATTCAAGAAATTGAAAATGTATATAAATACGTTTCTACCAAGTGCCCTTCTCAACATATATAGTCATGTTAAAACCGAGACAGCTGTAAAAATCAGTGGATGTCATTCCAATTAATTAGCATCTGAATATTGGTCATGCACAGAACATTTGCATTGCCTATATAATATTGCAAACATGCTCATAAGAAAACTACATATTTGCGCTGTAATAATTGTGGAACTTGTAAGCAATTTGATTTCACACTAATTTTCATAGAGCAATACTACACATATCTTGGGAAATGGAAGAATACGCGAGAAATATTCAAGAAATTGAACCTTAGCTTCCGAAATAACCCTATGCGATAAGTATTCAAGAAATTGAACCTTAGCTTCTGAAATAACCCTGGAATGGAAGATGAAACGGTCAATGGACTATTGAGAATTGTAATCTTTGAAACCCTGCTTGGGTTTTTCAGAGCCCAAGTCAGACCATATGAGCCAACAAGAAATCCCTACAAGAATGATGAGGTGCAGCATATTACAATCAAGTAGCAGCTGATCAATTGTATAACTCAGAAATCCGCGTAAACAAAAAAATGACAACTAACTAAATATAAAAAATAAACAAGGAGCAATAAACAACTGTAACTTCCAATTTTAGTTATGAGAACATTTTGGGAAATATATAAAACATCATCCAATTGGGCACTATTTATAAAGCAAACAATAGTTCACAGACCAAATTGTCTTGATGTGAATATTGACCTAATATTTGAACCAGGCATCCCATAGTAGGCCCTCAAATGCAGGCAATTTATGCAGGCATGGATTCTCCGAGTGTGTAAAACTACAACAAATGCTAGGATGCCAAGCTAACCGAAAACGTTGTTCATGGTTGTGAGTGGTATCAGACCTGTATTACTAAAATAACTGGAGATGATATGCATAATGCTTCAAGCAAGTTGTCAAATGCTTCATGAAATTCCTCTTCTGCAGGAGCCATATAACATTACATCAGAAACATTAAAACATTGGGCACCTTAAAAATATTATTTTCTTTTTACTTAAGTGCGTTAAAGCAAAAGTTCAACGAACCTATGTAAGAGAAACCATATCCAGGCTGAGGTTTATCACTAAAACCAAATCCAATCCAGTCAGGTGCAAAGCAATGGAAGCCAAGATCGGCCATCTGTACAGTAAGGTATCTTCTCACAATTAGAGAGGCATCCATGAGAATAAAGCAAGTGAAAAAAGGAATGAGAATTATTTTTTGTATACATTAGAAAGTTTCTATCTTTTTTTACAGGTCATTAATATTAATGATTGCGTAATACCCTTGTGGGAATTTTTGTAATTCTGTGCACATTTTACATATAATTTAATATCGAGAATTTATTCAGGGTATAAGTGAAATTTCACTTATACCCTAAACTGTGAAACCAGTGCATAAAAGAAATATTATGAATGTAAAAGGCGAGTGGTAGAATCCCTCATTCCTCTTTTTTCGTGTTCTTCAACGGCTTGTGGGGGGTGCCATTCCCTGTTTTCTTTCATATTTTCTGCTTTCTTTAATGGTGTCAAAGCAGTGTGCAAAGACCTCCTCGGCATAATCACACTCAATCACGATAACCAATAGTCTCTTCTTATCCTCCACTCGTATGTGTCTCTATTATATTTGCTTCTTCATCTTCTTCGAAACCATAATCTGCTCATCTTGTTTCCAAACCCTAACCTGGAAATCCTAATCAATCTTTAACACATTCATCTACTCTTCTAAAATTCTCTCCGCCTCTCTAAACACTAATCCATATATCTCAACCTCAAACTCCTTTCTTCTTTTCGTCCAATCGTCAATTTTCCCTACTTCTCTTAACAACCCCCTTCCCAAACCTTAATCTACACTCCTTTTCCAAAATTGAAAAAAAAAAAAAAGGAAGGGAGAAGGGGGTATAAGGGTAAAAGTGATTTTATCTCTACTTTCCTTACAGAAAAGAAAAAAGAAAAAAAAGGGAAAAAATTATCATTAAAAAAAAAAGGAGAAAGAAAAACCTATTCCTATCCCTGATTCCCCCAAATGTGTCTTTTATAAAGATACAAAAGATAAATAAAACTCCAATAACAACCAGAGAGACAACAAAATGGAAAAAAAACAAATTCAAAATTTTATTGAAGATAAATATAAGTTCGGGAAGAGGTTCAAACACTTACAAAGACATATGTTTCGTTTTCATCCAAGCTCAGTAAGTAAATAAGGAACACCCTTGATCAATCAACCCAAATTACAGGACATATTCTTAAAATTACATAATTCAACCTCTGTGGCCTCACGCTAAAAATGTATGGCCGATGAGTTTTCTCTGCGAGTACCTTGAGGACTACAACTTACACTCCATCTTTCACAAATTTGCTTTGTGCTAAGCTTCTTTCCCAAGTTTATGAAGACAGGTCCCCTTCCCTTGTTGATTAGAGCACTTTTTATAGACTCTAGACATAAATTTGTTGTAATTGGGTGGTTCGTTATGATCTGATCTGAAACAACATTATCTCTTTCTTTATTGATCAATAAAGTTTGAACCCCTAGTTACTATTGGAATTTCCTTATTTTAATTCATACTTTAAAATTTCAAATTTAAAATTCTAAGCTCGTTCAGTTTCTTTTAGCAGCAAATCCCTGGTTAAATCACTCACATAACCTCGCTAGTTAGAATCTTCCTCTGTTTGTTTCTATGTGAGTTTATCCTTTTGTTTAACCACATCATCAGGAGGTTTAGTAGACAACCGAGGTGAAATCTTCCTTAATTATAAGGACTATTCCTGCCGATTCCCCTAAAAGCTCACTTTCCTATTTTACCTTGACTTATTCATATCATTCCCTTGATGCATTTCCTGCCTTTTTATAACCACGGTGAAATCCCTCAGAGAGTCATAAAATACACGCAAACGGATGCCCTCCCGAATGTCACTTGAACATTCTTGTCTTTGGGAGCCCAACATTCGGTCAAGATTTTGGGCACTTGATTATCTTTCAAACTGCCAATAAACCATCTCCCTTCTGTTGGACTTATCTGTTCAAAGCTCCACTTTTATGTCTTTCTCTCGGAAAATTTGATTCATCTTTGGGAACTTCAATCTTTATCTCATGCAACATCACATTCACGCCCTTGCTCATGCAATCCTCTTACATAAGGGAATTTCCTGAGCATTTTGCCCACCATTTCCTTTCCTGTACCAAAACTCTCCTCGAGTAAACATTTCTTATACATCCATGGAATCCTCAAGCCATTCTTGAAAGTGGACAATGTAAGCTAGCACAGTCTATGTATTTTAAAATATTATTTTGCGATACTAGCTAGAACACTACATATGTCCAAATATTACAATTAAAACTCAAATACATAAAAGAAAATATAATAAATGGATTCTCACTTGCTACCACTTTCATAACTCTTCATTACGCAATAAAAAATTACATCAATTGATTTTGGGACCAAAAAAATATAAGAAAACAGAAAATAGAACAACGTACCAAAAGATTACCTCTAATGGACTTTGCACACCCCACATAAGGTCTCCGCCACCAATGGCGCACGAAATTTAGGTCTTTCTTGAATCTCAGCAAATGGGAGGTAATGCCAAAACCCTTACTTGGTATTAAAGAGCATGCGCACAAAATGGGGTCTCTCTTCTTCTCACACTATGTGGGTCTGCCCCCTAGTATGTATAGGGTTTCTTAGGGTTTGGCCATCCTTATGAGATTCTATCTAGACCATTAATCAAAGGTGACCTGTGCGGTGAGAGATCTTAGCCATACAATCCACAGATCGTCCATCATGATCTAATGGAAGGTCCTAGAACCTTATCCCTCCACTTCTTTAACCTAAACCTATCAAATATTATGTGTAGAAAAGTATGCCAAGTCTATCCATTTATTTTCAGTCAATCCCAACCCATACCCTTTTATAAATTAATTAGCCCCTTTTACAAAACCTTCTTATTTCTTTTACAAAGCATGGCTTATCACACAAGCCACTATATTTGAAAGGTGAGAAAAGTGGGGCATTCCACTTATCGTTGCATAGTGGGCCCCACACCCATATCAAGGTGGGCCTAAAATGGTGGACCCTTATTATTATGCCTCCCTATAGTAGTAATTAAGTGATTTTAAAACTTATAAAATGATTTTATAAAAATCATTAATATTTTTATTTTCTCTCTGAATATTTAAATATCTGAAAAAAAATCAGTTTTGGCTTATTTAAATATCAATTTTGAAAAACTAAAATGTTGGAAGATTTCTAAAAAATTATTTTATATTCTAAAAATAGTTTAAAACAAAATTAATTATTTTTAAATTAATTTGATGGGAATCGGATCCAACTTCATTAAGGAAAAATACGAAAATACAGAGACACACCATCTCGACTGGTGACTATGTCCCACATTCACTTTCTCAAAGTAACCTAGTAGTTTCCATGATGCACAGTCCATCATAGGGCTTCATAATTGAACTGCCAAAGTCAACCAATAGGTGATGAGAACACAATCCTAGTCTACGGACTACAGGGCCCCTTAGAGACAAGCCTAGGTCACATAGACCTTTGCACACTCATCAAAATTGGGCCGTGGTGACTATCTGTAGCATATGTACATGCAACACCCTCAATAGTGTCTACTTCCTAAAATGACTATCATATACACATGTCGTTTGATGGTGATGATGAGGATTTGGCCCTTGTCCCTTCAGGCCTACCTATCACACACAAGGGTTACAAAGTCCCTTGGTCAACTACCCTGGGCATGTCTCCGATACCATCAAGGGTTAATCCTGCAAATCCTTCTCGGTTGTGTTATATGCCCAGGTATCATAGAGTTTTAGAACTCAACTCAACCTTGCTCGTTAAGCCTAGTTTGAATCAGGGCATCAACATTGCCAATGTCGGTCCCTATGGACCATACTCCTATTGGAGTTCATTATTCCACTATTATGAAATTTCAATAATGCTCCCGTAAGACCTTTAAATGGACACAAAATCCCAATACTCCGACTAAAGCGACCATAAACATCAATGGAGCAAGCCCGGTGATATTAATACATTCAATAAATACAGACTTGAGACTTATGCTGAAGAAGTCCTCCACATAAAGGCAGCACTACATTCTAAGACATCTCCCTCCTCTGATCATGAGGATCAAGGTCTGAAGGCTCCCACTCTCACTCCAACTTACATCCCCTGGGAGTGGGGTGATGCCGACCCCACTCTTGAAGATAAGTTCAGGAGATCGAAAATTTCATTACCGATCAATCGGTTTGTCTTTCCTAGACCAAGGAGATTTTGCTCAGCAAAGTTAGGGTTATTGAGTCCCTAAAAGGAGAGAGGTTAAAGCGGTACTACATGGTCTCAATTACAAATAGCAAACTCTATGACAAGGACATGGAGATCTTTCGCCTCTGAAAAAACCTTCAGGCTGCTCGTAAGAACAACAAGAAGCTCCTCAAGAAATTTTCGAAGAAGCAACCTAAGTTTGAACCTGAGCCTGACGTGGAAAATTAGGATGGTTTTTTTTTAGGGTTGTTTTCAATGCGTGTCACAATTAAGTTGATGTGGATGAAAATAAGGGCTTTCGTCCCATGATGTTATCACCCCTTTTTTAATATTAAAATGTTCAATTCTTCTTCTTTCCTTTTCTCCATCTCTCCTTTGCCTTTTCATATTTTCTTCATCTTCCATTACTTTTCCCCTATTTTCCTTTTCCTTCTATTTTGTTTTTTTGCTTGCATGTTTCTCACAACACAAATTCCAATCACCTTGGCATTGACAAACTTTATCACGGTACACCCAATGATGATAATTGTCGTTCCTTCATCGTTATGATTACCACTATCTCCATGTCTTCCAAAGTGTGTTCTCCTCTTTCAAGGTGACACTTGATGTGCCAAAAACCGGTTTTCAACCGTACATCTTCATTAATTTTCTTTCCTCTCTTCTTTTTTATAAATAACCTTTTTTATGTTTTGCATTCTCCAACCGACTCTCTACTTTCCATTTCCCATACTTTCTAACCTATTCTTCCTTTTTACCTTTAACCTCTTCTCTACATCCAGGTCACCATTAGGTTGGGATTCGTTCCAATCTAAGTCAGTTCCCATAGGAGGGCTTATGGGAGCAAGACGTCAAGTTAAACTACGCA